ACAGACGCCAGATATTTGGAAACATTGTAAGTGACAGAGTTAATCATGCTAACAATAGGTCTTAAAGGTACACCTTGTTTGTGGATTTTAGGTAAACCATACAGACTAGGCGTGGCCTCCCCTGGGTACAGTCTGTGGTACAGAATATGGTCAATAGCCTTGTCCTGCTCCAAAATTTTCAGGCAATCTATTAACTTCTTCTTGTAACCACTTCCTGGATCTCTTTTCAGAGGTTCATAAGTGTTTAAGTCACTAAGGAGTGTCATAACTTTCTCATGATAGTCTTTCTGGTTCAAAATCACTGTGCACCTTCCTTTGTCTGCTGGGAGAATGATGATGTTTTTGTCCTTGCTAAGAGTGGTGAGTGCATCCCTCTCCTCTCTACTGATGTTGGAAGGTGATGGTTTGGCATTGCTGAGGCAGGATGAAACTTTGATTCTGAGTTGTTCTGCTTCACCCTCTTTAATTTGTTGTTGCGGATGGCTGATTCTATGGCTGTGATCATCTCCACCAGAAGAATTCTACTTGGTGCAACTGCCGAAACGTTTCTACATTTTTTTATTATTTTTTGGGGGGGTTGTTTTGCTTTGTTTTGTATTTTTTGAATGTCCAGAGGACCAGATTTAACTTTTTTAGATTTTTCTACCTGGATTATTGAGCATGCATCAGGTCAAGTCAACTTTATTGTCAATCCATCCCGTGTGGTACATGAAATTGATCGACATTATGTACACAGGGTCCCGGGTACATCCAAAAGTAGCAAAATATAAAGTATTAAACAAAACAGTAAATAAGGATCTAAGATATCCGCCAAACAAATACCAAACGATAAGCTAAAAGATCTAAGATACAGTAGTCCCACGTTACTTTGCGGTTCGTTTTTCGCAGATTCGCTATATCACAGTATTCAAAGTAAGATTGGACATGACATAGTTGGCTGATTGATGGATGAGCCATGGGTTGTTTATTTAAAATAAATTATTTTAAATGATTTTGCATTGTGTGTGAAGCTGACAAGTGCAGGGGCAGCTCCCTCCTGCAGCTGATCAACTGATTTTCTTCTCTGCCAGAACACACATTTCTCCTGCAGTAGCTTTGTGAAGGTTAACCCTTTGTTGTCCAGATGCACCAATCCACTTTTTCCACTTCTGATACCGACACCTGATGTTAAGTATCGGTCTATACCGAATACTGAACTGATACAGAAAAACAGTGCTGAATTCCGTTAAAAAAACTCAGCGTGCTGTTTTTGGTGAAATCTCTGGAGATGCTTGATTAAGTTGGTAGTGTTATAACTGGAAGTTTTAGTGACACCCCCTGGAACCGTTGCTGTGCACGTATTGCACATAGCTGTCGAATGCGTTGGCTGAGGTAGTGTAAAATAGTTCCCGATGGCAGATTCTTTTGCTCGCTCCATTTTGAAAACTGTCTGTGTGGTGAGTTTGCTAGTGCGTGACGTCACTCAGAGCACAAAGTGTAGAATTAGAGTGAACAGATCTGCCCAGTCAAGGATCGGTCACATTTTCACCGATAACTGATCTAGAAGTTTTTCGATATCGGACCGATACCAATATTGGTATTGGATCGGTGCATCTCCAGTCCAGATGCACCGATCGACTTTTGTCTTCCAACTTAAAATCCAAAGCATGTCACATCATAAAATCATCATAACCACAATATATAAAAGTGTCAAAAGTTATTTTTAATTATTTTAGAACTTCTATGTTCAGTTGTTGAAGTGTAATTGATCAAGACGTACATTTCTGCTTTTTTTTTTTTTTTTTTTTGACATCACTTTGATGTCCTGCTGCATTTCTCTTCTCTACAATTTAAATTTAAATACTGTAACATTTGAAATAAACAATCCATGCTGCATGGATTGTTTATTTAAAATATTACAGGATTTACATTTTAATAGTTTATTTACACAAGGAGGGAGATTGGGAGTAACAGGTGATGAATGTGATTGCAGCCTGGCACATGTCATGACAACATTTACTGAACTTGAACTGAACTTTTGGACTACTGTATCCCTACTTCGTGGTTTTCACTTATTGTGGGTGGGCGTGGGCCCAGACACCGGCGATAAACGAGGGACCACTGTATACACTAGACACCACTAATGTGAAACAATAGAGTGTAACAACATCAGCCTGAACATGAATCTGTGGAAAGCAGATGGGTATGAATGAATACAGCAGCATAAGATAATCTGCAGCACAGATAAGTCACATATCACCAATTAAAGTGGCATTACAGTGATTTTTGTTTTGTTTTTTTCTTGCAGTGATTATTCTGGTTAGAGATTCATGAGTCTAACAGCTTCAGGGTAGAAGCTGTTCCTCAGTCTAGTGGTTCTACACTTAATGCTCTGCAACTTTGTGTCTGAGGGGAGCGGGGCAAAAAGTGTGTGTGCTGGGTGAGTGGGGTCCTTCATGATGCAGGTGGCCCTCTTCCTGCATCTGGAGGTGTAGATGTCTGTGATGGTGGAGAGGCTGACTCCAACATCTTCTGTGCAGCCTTCACCACTCTCTGCAAAGCTTTTCTTTCTGCACCTGTGCAGCCTCCATGCCACACGTTGATGCTGCACAGGATGCTCTCCACTGCACACCTGTAGAAGGAGGTGAGGACTGAGCTTCCCAGACCAGCTCGTCTCAGCCGCCTGAGGAAGTAGAGTCTCTGATGAGCTTTCTTCATCAGGCTGGTGGTGTTGTTGCTCCAGCTGAGGTTGCCATTCAGGTGCACACCCAAGTACTTGTAGCTGGAGACTTCTTCCACCACAGATTAGAATGAGAATTTCATTCTCAGTTTAGTTTCAGAATTGAGATCTATTTTTACACCTGCATGGGAGCTCTCCTCCAACAAACATCCAAGCCCTGAACCTTGAACTTCCAGGTCTAAAGACCACACAAAGGATGGATAATAGTTCATAAAACTAGTCCAAATCTGCCAGTCTTCATTTCTTAAGTATACTCCAGCCGATTAAGTCATAAACTTAAGGACGATCGCTGGGGTGAAGAAGGTGGGTAATAAAAACCTTGTGCAGTGAACATCCTGAATCCACCAGCTGTAATTAGGGTGTCACCTGATGTGTCATGTCGCGCTGCCCTTAACCTGCTAATGATTCACTGACTCATATGAGCAGCAGCAAGCTTCCAGTAAAAATGTTTCAACCGATAAATGACAAGTGATGACAGTAAAACTTCTGAAACTTTTATTAGACAACAGCACCGGGCTCGGTGTAGAGAATAGTTGTTTACATTCCTCGTTACCTTTCTGTCTTCTCTTCTTTTTGTCTCTCTTTTTTTATTTATCTCCATTGTATGTAATTAATGGCAGCACGTTGGCACAACTGGTAGAGCTGCTGCCTCTCAGCGAGCAGGTCCCTGGTTCAAACCCCGGTCCAGGGGCCTTTCTGGGTGGAGTTTGCATGTTCTCTCCGTGCATGCGTGGGTTTTCTCCGGGTACTCCGGTTTCCTCCCACAGACCAAAAACATGCATGTTAGGCTGATTGGTAACTCTAAATTGTCCCTAGGCGTGAGTGAGAGAGTGAATGGTTGTTTGTCTCGTTTGTCTCTATGTGTCCCTGTGATGGACTTGCGACCCGTCCAGGGTGTACCCCGCCCCTCGCACAGTGATTGTTGGACATGGGCACCAAGCGACCCCCGTGACCCAAAATGGAACAAGCGGGTAAAGATAATGGATGGATGGATGGATGGATGGATGTAAATAATCTCACTTATAAAAAAATACAACTTGTAAGACATAATGAGATGGTAACAGAAGGATATACTTTCAGAATATCAAAGAAATAAAACTCCACAGATTTAAACCTCTTCAGGTGCAGGGCCCTGGCCAAGGTAAAAAAAAAAGATTGTTCTTTGTTTGATTTTTTTCAATTTACGTGATTAAAGTGGCTTCAATTCAAGAATAGGTGTTAGGATTGTGTTTCATCTACATGACGATGTATTACAGCACCCAATGTATGGGGAAATCTTCCGTCCATGGATGGTACAATGGGGCTGGTTAGACTTTTTTTTAAATCTGTTCCAGGTGGAGTGCCTGCTGGTGGTCAGCTCTGACAGGGAAGTTCACACTTGGTAGCAAATAGTAAACCCTAAAACATTTTTGCTGTTGAATGTTAATTACTTTTAAAGTATCAAAGTTCATGCTCAATAATCCAGGTAAAAAACCCAACATCGTTCAGTCAGGTCATCTGGACGGTTTCTTTCTCTTTTTTTTTTGTAGAGACGTTTCACCCCTTCATCCAAAGGACTTCATCAGTTCGAGGAGCCACACACAAACTGAGTCCCACAAGCAGCATACTCCCATAGTGAACCAACCAGTTGGCTGGTGATAAAATGGTTTCTGGGACCCGCCCTCTCCCCCATCGACTTGACAACCCCGGATTATCGAGCATGAATTTTGAGCCACTTTGGCTAAGGCTGCCTCAGAGGAGTCGATATGTCCAGATGACCTGACTGACTGTTGGATACTTGTAAAATAATGCCACTTTAATTGGACATTTGACACGTTCTTTTAAATCGGTGCTGCTGATTATCCATGCTGCTGATTCCTTGCCTTTAAGCTGCTGTATTCATACCCATCTGCTCACTACAGACTCATGTTCAGGCTGCTGTTTAATACACCATGTTATGTTACATTATTAGTGTTTAGTTTATATCTTAGATCCTTATGTACTTGTTTCTTTTTATACTTTATATTTTAGATATTTTTGGGTGTAAGTGGGACCTTGAGTACAATTTCATTCCACCTCAAGTACATGTGACGTGAATGACAGTAAAGAACCTTGAACCTACTTGTCGTACGCAGAGCTGCTGATGTTTCTATAATAATGTCACTGCACTCAGACATCTAAACATCACAACGTTAACGTTGCTCAGAGCCATTTGAGTAGCAAGTTTGTGTTTTCACCTAATGAATTCCCTTCACAGAGGCAATAAAGGAAAATATCGGTGTGTTAGAGGATTTTTGGCAGGAATATTTTTAATATATTATGGCTGAGAACATCTTTTCCTCTTGCTTCTGTAATGTGTGCACAGAACATTCTCAGCCTGAAGGCAGCTCGCTGACTCGCAGAGCCTCACTGGTGTTGATGCCAGGAGAACATGCCCAAAACTTTTATCTCCAGCTGGAGGTCGACTAGCTGACGCCCATGGATCATGTGACTGCAGCTGGCTGTGAGGGAACACCTGCTGGATAAAAGTCTGCAGCAAACTCTGTTCGAGGCTCATTCAGTGACACGATCCGTGCATCTGTGGACGTAGTCGGTCTTGAACGAGTCCTTGCAGGTAAAACCAGTGAAAAATCTTCTCCTGCCATCGAGTGTGGTTCTTGTATTGAAGTAAGTTAAGAGAGCTCAGACTGGTCTTTTACAAGGACCACAGCCGGTCCAAATACAACCAGAACAAACAAACTCTCACACACAACACCCTGCAATTCACTGTTTAATCAAATCTCAACAAAACAGACCTTTAAAAAAATAAATGAATAAAGTTTCTGAAAAAAGCTCAGTAAGTCTGTAAAGAAAAAGCAACAGAACAAACAAAACTAGAAAGTTCCTGGAGAAACTTTGACGAAGACTGCCGGGCTGCTGCCGATTTAAATCCTTGATTTGATAGAAAAGGGTGTTTGGGTTCGCTCTCATCTACCATTATACCAAATTTCAGCTGAATAGCTCTAAAAATAGTTGAGTTGTGTAATTTTTTTCTCTTTTAGCTAAGGCGGCCATCTTGGATTTTTGATTTTCAGCCAGAGACTATTAGGGATCATTCTCAGCTACCAATTCGCCAAATTTCAGCTGAATAGCTCTAAAAATGGCCGAGTTATGGTATTTTTTGCTCTTTTGGCTAAGGCGGCCATTTTGGATTTTTTAATTTGGATTCAGTACGTGATAGGGAACATTCTCAGATACAACCTTACCAAATTTCAGCTGCATATGTGTAAAAATGGCTGAGTTAAAACCATTTAAAGTAACATTGGTGGTCATCTTGGATTTTTGATTTTGATACAGCATTTGATAGGAAACAGAGTCGTACAATCAGAATATTACCAAACACTGCTCTTTAATTATCTCCAGTCATCTGGCAGCTGAGCAACATTATAATGGTCCACACTCTGCTGCTTGCGTCAGGTCACGTGAGTACAATGGGGAGACCTCCATCGAGGATATAGATAAAGGTTTTTGTAGATTACCAAGCTGATCTGGGTAAAAGGAGTCCACTGAGGGAGATCACATGTATTATCCAGATTTACTGGAGAGTTGAAGACTGTTCTTACAGCAGGTCTTAAAAGCCCTTTGACATTTTCACCAACTTCAACATTTATTTTGAGAGCTACAACATGTTCGTCTTTTGAAAACCAACAATACAAGCGCTCCACACATCTGTGGTTAAATGTCTGCCACATCTACCTGAGCTCAGAACACACAAACGTCCACACGCGTAAATAAATGGTAAATGAACTGTACTTATATATGTCGTTTCTATCTTATCAAGACACTCAAAGATCTTTACACTACAACCTGTGCCTCATTTACCCATTCATACAGCACTCTACTAGATCTACACAAAGCTACTTGAACAAATCATTCTAAAGAGACTAATCAGATCTTTATCATGTTCATACACTGATGGGACACACATCAGAGGCTATGAGGGTTTCAGTGTCTTAACCAGGGACACTTCAGCATGTGACTGCTGGTGGAATCGAACCCCCAACTCTCCCATTGGAGGACGACTGCTCTAACCACTCAGGCCCAGCCGCCCCAAATACCACAGGTTAGCGAAAACTCGGCACGGTAGTAGCTTAAAGTCATAAACATCTACTCTAAGTGCTAGTAGAACATGAGAAATCGTGTGAGATTGAGAATTACATCATTTTCTAGAACTCTGTCATTTCCCATCATGAGATGATCCTAGTCTAAAACTTTACCATGAAAAGCAGTGGGCCTTTCAAGGTGCCCTGGGGTGAAATCGACCCACAAAGCTTCAGTTTAAAAACTGAGGCCTTTAGATTCACATTTTCTCATATGATGTTCAGTTTTGTTCCACCACATGTACCACATGCGATGCGGATGACAATAAAGAACCTTGACTTGACTTGACTTGATAAAGGGACAGCGAGTCTGAAATGGCATATTAATTTAGTCTACAACTGAACTGTCGCTCAGTCTCTCCATTAGAGCGGTTACTGCCGCTGATCTTATACTGCCAAAAATAGTCCATGCTCAATAATCCAGGTATAAAATCCCACAATTTTCAGTCGGGTCATCTATTAAATGTTATTTTAGAGATGCAAGGTTTTTTTCCCACTTACTTGATTCAGAAGTTGAGTGAGGTCTTCATTCCCCACTTTAACTTGACCTGATCCTGAAGGCTGGAAGCGGATGTCCTTATTGTCCCCAGTTGTGAACACAAGGTGACCATTATCAGACAGCATACGAGGCCTGCAGAGATAAATCAACAGTAAACAATCTCATCAGACTGCTGCTCATCTTAAGATGAATTTTAACACTATCCCATCTATACCATGCTCCTTCTAACAACCTATAGGTTAACATAAATAATGCAATAAAGGTTTTGGTTGGTTTTGATGTCTGCTATAGAAATAAAACTCACTGTGTTAGTTTATTGTCCCTTGTCTGTCCCTGCTGGCCTGCAAACAAGAGAACTATGAAGAAAAGCCATGAGGACTGCAGTGTCCCAGCCATGGAGAACAGCTGAACGCTCTGAACACCAGAGCTTTCCCTCCTGCTCCACTCAGATGCTCGCTGCTAAGACTTTGACCCAGAGCACCAACTATAAATTTACTGAAGCAGGATAACTGTGGTTTAAGGTGTTTTACTGTGTTTTAACCAGCACTTATTATTGAGGCAGAATGCCTCTCACATGATTCTTGGAGATGAGTAATCTGCTTAATGGGACTCTCTGAGATGCCACGCATGTGTAAGTAGTGAGTTATTATCACTGCAGCCAAATGATCAACTTTTGTTTCATACAGAAACTGTGGGTTCTACAAATTCCTAAATAAATCAAAGCTGTTAAATAAATCTAAAAAATATAATAATGGTGTCATTATGGTGCTAAGTCCCAGTCAATTGTGTTAAACACCCCATAAGTTGAATACAGTAGTCCCTCGCTACATTGCAGTTCGACTTTCGCAGACTCACTCTTTCACAGTGTGTTAACAATTGTTAACTTTAATATTACTCACATAATTGGGACAGTATGAGATAAATAGCTAACAAACAAACAAAAAAAAAAAAAACAGGCAGGCGCTGCCATTTTGTAGTTTTCTTTCAATGAACCTATACTGTAATGCCAGTCCAAAGAACTACACTACCCAGAAGCCAACAGTGCTTCTGGCAGCTGTTTTTTGCTGAAATAGATGGAAAGTTTAGCAACACCAATCTACACGATCTGTAAAGTTCACAGAGCTGGCAGGAATTTCTCAAATAATCCTGAATCTTCCTGAAGCACCACGTGCGCATCGGCCTGGACGGGGCGTTGGGCTTCGTCGCTGCAGGGTAGGTCTGCAGAACTGGAACTGAGCCCGACCAGAACCGAGTTGCTGTTCTGCAGAGCTGGTGAGTAAAATTTTGCAGTACTGTACATATAACATACATATATGCATGTTGTTAAAATTAAGAGTTTAGAACATGGCAAGAGTGTGGGAAGGGTTTATAAATCCGTAAAATATATAAATATTAAAATAAATATAATGTTCCTACTTCACGGTTTTCACCTATCGTGGTGGTGTCTGGAACATAACCCCACAATAATCAAGGGACTATTGTAAAATATCTATTCAACATTTTACTTTTAGCACATTAGATTGTTTTCTATTGGAAAAAAAATATCATATCCAGTTTCTGCTTCAGGAGCCTGAAGGTCATTGATGCCTGTCACGGTGGCAACCAAAGGATCTGCTGGTGGACACCAGTGGTGATCAATCAATCTATCAACCTTTATTTATACAGGTAAATCCCATTGAGCCTCGAGGACTCATTTACAAGAGAGACCTGATGGAGACCTTCAGGACTGGACTGTCCCAGAGGAGTTCTGACGCAGCTGACAGGTACTGGGTGTACAGAAAGGCTACGGCTTTGGTGATTATAGGCAAAACCACGGGAATGGGAGGAACTCTGGGAGACCATGGAGAAGGACATTCAGTCAGCCTCAAGGAGGTTCTGGCAAACCATTTAACAATTCATAAAAGGAAAGTGAGCCCTGTGCTTGGTTTGGGTGGAGAACTGCAGACCCAGACTGAGGATACAGTTGAGCAGTGGAAGGAGTACCTGGAGGATCATGCTAATCCATCCACCATGTTTACCTTTGAGAAGGCCGAGGACTTGGGGGAAGACGATCAAGTCCATACCATGGCAGAGGTCACTGAGGTAGTCAAAAGCTCCTTGGTGACAGGGTGCCAGGAGCGGACGAGATTCACCCCGAGATGCTGAAGGTTCTGGATGTTGTTGCGCTGCCATGGTTGACACAACTACTCAATGTCACATGGAGGACTGGGACAATGCCTCTTTCTTTATTGAAAGCGTGTTGCACCATTTCCTGTTGGGTGGGACATATTGACTGACCACAAACATCAACACAACAAAAACTGGTGTTACATCAGATTTACAGAAGAGCTAGTAACACTTATATTCAAATAGAAACGTCAAGTCTTATGGTGCACTTCAGTGTCTGTCAAAGTGCTGGGCACCAAACTAAATCCACTACTGGGCGGTCAGAAATGGCTCCCAGTCAATAGTTTTGTTAAAGTCCCAGCATACAGTCTAGTCTACTTTTTATATCACTTTCTCTGCCTGGTGGTGAATTATTAACAAAATTTTCTTTATTTTGAAATAATTAACCTTAATTTCAGTAGCTGGTAATGAACCCACAGTTGGACAACTATAACTGTTCAGTCATGTGCCTCTGTCTTTTTCTTATTGTACTTCAGGGCTTTTCAAAAATAGTGTGTGTGAGTGTTTATTCTGACAATTTGTTAATACTTAGACATTGTACCGTGTAAGTTGTCTGTATAATTTATCTTTAGATGTTTACTCACGGACAGCACAGCAAATATTTTGTGCACTGACAATAGAGGAATATTTACATTCATTCATATGTTAATTTATGGAGATGCACCTGCAGACTGAAGGTTCGGGTCATTTCTGGGAAGAATACCGGCTCTTGAACTGAAAGACCGAAACCTTAACATGAATAACTTCTATATTCATAAAAACACAAGGTGGCTTGAATAAAGCCGGTGGTGCAGCAGAGTTTTTCTGATAAAAATTCAGTACATTGTTTTGTAGTTTCTCTTTCTGTAGTTAAAACATTAAAACCTCCTCAAAATGCAATGATGTCATTCATGCATTTAGCCAAGGCTGCAAACATCTTGATCTGCCAACACTCTGTCAATGCAGTTATTTTTATAGCTTTACAGAACTAAATTATGACCCGTTTCATAAAAGTACCTTTTGTCATAAACAAATGTACTTTTATTCTCACTGCCTTGTGCTGAGTGACTTCAGACTCAGGGTTTCTGCTTCTGGTAAACATTGACTGAGGTCTTGGGACAGGTGAATGAAATCTGCTGACTGCTTCATTTTTCCACAAGTAAACCCAACAGTGTTGTAACGAAGAGATTCATCACTAACAAACGTAGAAACTGGGCCTGGAGGTATGTTTTTAAATATCTGTAAATGGTAACTGTACTTATATAGTACATGCTCAAAGCTCTTTACAACACGATCTGTGCCTCATTTACCCATTCATACAGCACTCTACTAGATCTCTACAAAGAATAATCAGAGCTGTAGCACATTCAAACACTGATGGGACACACATCGGAGGCAATGAGGGGTTCAGTGTGACTGCTTTTGGAATCGAACTACCAACTCTCCCATTGGAGGACAACTGCTCTAACCACTCAGCCACAGCCACCCACAGCATTTGTCTCCAGGAAGAGGTCCAAACGGTCAGGAATATAGGATAACTTTGATTTTACTCATCCAAAGCAGGACTCTGCAACCTTCACAACTAAAGGAGCTACTTTTATCATCTTTTCTACAAAATAAAATTTGAATAGAGCCACGAAATCTACCAGATTGTTTGAAAAAAAAAAAGAAAACTTGAAATATAAATCTGCTTTTATGATTTTGTTGGAATCTGATTATTTTTTTAGCAAAGTTGGAGAACAATCACTCTGTGTGTATTATCACAACAGTGATACTCCTAGGTTTCTGTTTAGTACTAGACTAATTAAAAGTCCCATTTCTGTTGAACCATGTATCCCTACAACTATAAGTAGTGATGACTTCATGAGATTCTTTATAAATAAAATTATTTCAATTAGAGAGAAAATTCAAACCATCCTTCCTTCTACTATTGGCCTGGAGATGAGACAAAACCTTCAGGGTGTTCTTCTTCTAATCCACTCATCTCCAGGCCAGCGGTCACTCTTTCAGGGATGAAGATGTTC